CTCAACAGTGAGAAACTGGCGAAGCGGGCACAACAGCGCCTGCATTTTCTGCATCGCATGAGAAAAGCACATCTTCCTTCCCCTGTCCTGACCACTTTCTACAGGGGGACGATCGAGAGCATCCTGTCATACAGCATCACAGTCTGGTTTGGAAGCATCACTGCTTCAGACAGGAAGGCAGTGCAGAGAGTGGTGATAATGGCCGAAAAGATCATTGGCAGCTCCCTCCCTCCCATCCAGGACATAGCACAGAAGCGCTGCTTGAGCAGGGTCCGTAAGATCATCTGGGACACTACACATCCTCTTCACAACCTGTTTTTCTTGTTACCTTCTGGGAGGAGGGGGCTTCGTGGTATCCGAAGCAGAACATCCAGATTCAGCCATAGTTTATTTATTTATTTATTTATTATTTATATTTCTACCCCGCCCTTCTCCCTACGGACTCAGGGCGGCTTACAGCCTTTTAAAAACAAATACATAAATATAATAATACTAAAGTTAAAATGTTAATTTAAAATGAATTATTATTATAAGGCCTTTATTATTTTTTTATAAAAATTATTATAAAACCATGTTAAAAATAACCCTTAGGCCAGTCCAGTTTCATTCCATACAGCATTAACCTTGTGAACTCTCAAGCTTCCTCCTTCCGTTATATATTCAAGATGGACAATATTTAATATTTATTTGCTACATATATGTAGGGGTGTGGGTCTATACATGTTGTTCATAGTATGTTTAGGTGTGTGTCATGTATGTGTTTCACTTGAGAGTGAGCAACTAAATTTCATTTTTGATGTTTGCCGTTGTGGCCACAGTTAAAAAAAATGACAATAAAGGTTATCTTATCTTATCTTATCTTACTGTATCTTAAAGCTTCCCATGAACTTTGCTAATGACTTAACAAAACAAAATGCCCGTTTTAATTTAAGTAAATTGATGGATTTCATTTAAAACTGCTGCTTATGAAAGCGACATTGTTAAACAGCTGCCTTAAAACGTGCTTATTTTTATCTGAATTGTCAGAGCAAAATTAATACATTTATTTTCTAAAATGTGTAAAGTGCCACGTTCACCGCGTATTTTTTTATTTCCCATACACGTGATAACTATCAACGTGCCTTGTTTAGATATATTAAGAGAAGCCTTGATTGGTTGCTCAAATCTAAGTTCTCCAGGGTGAGATTTGATGTCAATTCTCAGAATGATCTGGAAGAGCAAAATGAATTCTCTACTGTACATCTTTTGAAGAGATGGTGCTAGCAAGGAAATCTGATGTACCAAAGAAATCAGAAGAATTGTAAAAAAAAATTTGGGAGAACCGGTCCAAAATTAAAGACCGGCCAAATGCAGAGAGGTCCATAATGGTCTTACATGCTACTGAGCAATCACATAAACAACTTAGCTTGCTTCATTCCAAGTTGCCAAATAAAAATATAAACGCAACACCAATTGTGGATATACAATCAGTGGCTTACCAGAATTCTTCTCATTTCAGTTTAATATGAAAACAAAATGTTGCGTATTGTAATCGATTGAGGTTTTCTTATAGAATGATTTATCAGCCCTGGTTACTGATCTAAACCACAGTGGGAAAGAATTCATACATATATTCAGGTATTTTGTATCTTTGAAAACATTCGTGGAAAATGATAGATTTGTTTGAAGCTCAGCTTTTTGGGCGGGTGGATTGAGCAAAAGTTCCTGGACGTGCAAAGGCAACTGAATAGACAAAGAAGAGCAGAATGCAATCCAATTTAGAAGTCTGTAAATTGTAAACAAATTAAAAAAAAATCTATATCCCTAAGAGTTGGCGGGCTCCTACTGTAGTTTGGCTAACTGCTGGAGACACATCTCACACCCCAGAAAAAAAGCCAATGTTATCTACTGTAATTGGCTGCGAAGCTATCATAACTGGATTTTGACTTGAAGGCAGTTTACTGTATCCAGTGTAACAGAGATGTGATCTGTAACAATCTCTCTCCATCCTTCCAAGCATCTTATGCTGTTACATGATGGGACACGTTATTTCACAGCCTTATTTCCAGGTGGTTTATAGGATAGAGGGAAACTCTCATTACAATGGCACGTGTAATAATAATAATAATAATAATAATAATAATAAACAACGTTGGAAGGGACCCTGGAGGTCATCTAGTCCCACCCCCTGCTCAGGCAGGAAAGCCTATACCATTTCAGACAAATGGCTGTCCAGTCTCTTCTTAAAAACTTCCAGTGTTAGAGCATTTACAACTTCTGGAGGCAAGTTGTTCCACTGATTAATTGTTCTCACTGTCAGGAAATTTCTCCTTAGTTCTAGGTTGCTTCTCTCCTTGATTAGTTTCCATCTGTTGCTTCTTGTCCTGCCTTCAGGTGCTTTGGAGAATAGCTTGACTTCCTCTTCTTTGGGGCAACCCCTGAGATATTAGAACCCTGCTATCATGTCTCCCCTCGTCCTTCTCTTCGTTAAATTAGACATACCCAATTCCAGCAACCGTTCCTTGTTTTAGCCTCCAGTCCCCTAATCATCTTTGTTGCTCTTCTCTGTACTCTTTCTGAAGTCTCAACATCTTTTTTACATCATGGTTACCAAAACTGGATGCAGTATTCCAGGTGTGGCCTTACCAAGGCATTGTAAAGTGGTATTAATACTTCACGTGATCTTGATTCTATCCCTCTGTTAATGCAGCCTAGAACTGGGTTGGCCTTTTTGGCAGCTGCAGCACCTATTTAAGGGATTGTCCACTAGGACTCTGAGATCCCTCTCACAGTTGCTACTATTTAAGGGATTGTCCACTAGGACTCTGAGATCCCTCTCACAGTTGCTACTATTGAGCAAGGTGCCATCTATACTGTATCTGTGCATTTGGTTTTTCTTGCAATGGAGAACCTTACTTTTTTTACTATTTATTTTTATTAGACTTCTATCAGTACCAGTGGAAGGGAACTTCTATCAGTGTTCTTCAAACTTGACAACTTTAAGATGTGCGAAATTCAATTGCCAGAATTCCGTAGCCAGCAGAACACTGATTAATACGAACAAACTGTTAGTATAGAATACCCCAACAAAAAGGATACATATTTTTGTTTTAGGAACAAATATTCTGGATGTTTCCAGAACATTCAGGTTTTTTTCTTCTGACTGTGATGATTTAGTAGATTGTTGGGAATTCCGAACAAAATAAGCCAAAAGGGTAGATTTTTACACATACCTAAGCAATAAAGTTCGACATTCACAAAGACACTTGTTCAAAACTCTCTGTTTTTAAACAAACAAGAAATATAGTAATGAGTGTGCAGGGCAGATAAATATATTTAAATAAAATATGTTTCAGCATTCTTTTATTTGTTTAGAAATAAATAGGGCAAAGGAAAAAAAAAAACCTCAATAGTGCCGTCAGTACAATATTTTGAAGATTACTCTTTTCTTCACCAAACAGTAGTGTCACCAAATAATCTGCAGCATAGTGCACTTTTACAATATGATTAGCCATATCTATAGAGCGAAGCAATGAATAAATGAATTAGAAAGTATAGCAATAGCAATAGCCCTTAGACCAGCAGTTCTCAACCTATGGGTCGTGACCCCATTTGGGGTCGATCGACCATTTCACGGGGGTCGCCAAGTAAGGCTGTCCGCCATTTTTTTCCCCTTTTCCGGCGGGTGCCTTACCTCCCTTGAGCTGGGCCAGCTGGTGGCCGGCCTGGTCCATCTCTGCCGCTTGCCAGCTACGCCTCGGCCGGCGCAGGGGGCGGAACCACGCATTCGCAGCGCTCCCGGGCAGGGAAAGTCCTCGACTTATGACCGGTTTAGTCCTCGACTTACGACCGGTTTAGTCGACTTATGACCAGTTTAGTCCTCGACTTACGACCGGTTGGGGTCACGGCATTAAAAAGGTTGAGAACCACTGCCTTAGACTTATATACCAGTTCATAGTGCTTTACGACACTCTCAGTGCTGTTTACAGAGTCAGCAAATTGCCCCCAACAATCTGGGTCCTCATTTTACCGATTTTGGAAGCACGGAAGGCTGAGTCAACCTTGAGCCGGTCAGGATCGAACTGCTGGCAGTGGGCAGAGTTTGCCTGCAATACGGCATTCTAAATCAGCACGAATTATTCCAATCATAATTCATAAGGTAAAAAGTTTGTGGATAAATCCAACCTAAACTTTTCGCAAAGTAAAGGTGCGTGGGTTTTCCTGAATCCAAAAATGGTAAATTAAAGGTTGGCTATGTGAAAAACAGCCAACAAAATTGCTTTGGTTCTTACATCTGTGCTGTGAGTAAGTCCATTTTATGCTTCAATTTGAATAGCAGCTATATGTTGAGTATAAATTTCAGATTTATTATAGAAATAACAATACATTTTATATATGCATGTAACCAATAGTCCATGCAGCCATCCACCAAACACTCCAAAAATATTGATAAAGCTTTATAATAAGATATATATTGTATTGCACATTCCAGAGAGCTAGTAACAAAAACTGTAAACATGCATAGCTTGATTTGCATTTTTTAACATTCAACCACTAGTTTACGTGAAAAGGCACGTCAGTTAATAAAAGGTGAGCAATGGGGAGAAAAAAAATCTGTTTTCATTGTTTTAATTGCCTCCCAACCAGTTGCAAAATATTGAGCCCATATATTATAGTAATACAATTTTAATTCGGATCCAAAGTATTTATGAATGTGCGCTTCAAAATGTAATGACAAATATGCGGCCAGATGCAAAATGTATACATATATACTGTATATATACACTTTAAGATATGTAAATGTCCGTAAAACATTATTTGTGATAGCAATTAAAAAGATTTTTAAATATATATATTTTACCAAGTGGTGTCATGTCAGAAAAAGTGGAGATTGGGAGTTTTAAATAAGGAATTCTTCTCCCTTGAATGTTAGGAATATGTTAATAGTGACTTGCAGGTATTTATGATGTGAAGCCTCATTCTCATACTCATACTCTTATGAATAATGTAACCAAGTATTTTCTTGAACGTCTAAACGAGTCCAAAGTTTTGTGCAACTGGTTAAAAGGTTTACAGCGCTCGTAATCGTGCGAGCAAAGCTTCCACTTCAGGAATCACGTCTCCTTTAGGACCACCCAGTTCTATTTCGTCCCTTCTCTGGGTTCCTCCAGGGGTGACTTTCTTTTTTCCAACACCGTTTCTCTTTTCTACCGATGGATTAGCTTCGTTTTTACGATGACTGTCCTTGCAGGCGGGGTTCCTTACCGAGGTTCCATTCATACTGTGGGGGGGATGTAACTTTTCTCCTGTCGGTGCCTTCTGGTTTTCTGCATGAAAGAAAACAAAGCCGTTTTTGCAGTGCACAACAGTGAAGTGCATAACTTTACCCATTCACAATATTTGTAGAGCTTATCTTTGCCGCCAGGCTGCCCCATCATCAACTCTTTCGGGAGGGGAGAAAGGGATGTCCCCAGCTTCCGTTAAGCCCCACTGCCCTTCAAAGCAACCTCAGAGAGAAGATTTCTGCTTGAATTTTGAAGTACACTCAGTCCTGATGTATGACTCTGGCTACTCCTGTTTGTTGGGTCTACAATGCTTCAGTTGGTTGCAGGTTCACCTCAGCCGTTCATTGGGTCTCTTTGCAAAGATGGATCACCCCTTCCATGAGCTAATGATTATCAGGCACTCTTAAGAGTGTCAGTGGCTGACTGTACCAGCATTGCTAAAATAACATGGTGGTTGAGATCTTTGCTTAGCCTAGAGAAAGTCACTCATTTAAACTCTAGAGAAACCCTAGAGAAACCATTACAATTTTTCCTGTTTTGGGTAGCTTTCCACGGTTCTTTCTTTTTCTTTCTTTCTTTCTTTCTTTCTTTCTTTCTTTCTTTCCTTTTTTTTTCTTTCTCTCTCTTCCCTCCTGTCCTTCTTTCTTTCTCTCTTTCCTCTCTCTCTCCCTTTTGTCTTTCTTTTTCTTTCTTTCTTTCTTTCTTTCTTTCTTTCTCTTTCCTCCCTCCTTCCCTTCCTTCCCCTTTTTGTGCATGAGCATAAACTTACAAAAATGTTTGACATATGGTTTTCTGGGAGAGAACAATGGGAAGGCACAGCAATGGGAAAATTGTCTAGTGGGAAAACATAGTAGCTGGCAGTCTGGCATGAATAATTTTCAAGATGTTGTCAACTTCTCTCATTTCAGACAGTTTTTTGTTTTTCCCCCCCCTTTCAAATGATCTTAGAATTAAGCCAGACTGAGCATAGGATAGAACCAGCTTAAAATTTTACTGATTTATTCGTACCCTGTCTTTATTATTTTTTACAAATAACTCAAGACAGCCAGCCTATCCAACACAAATTCCTCCTTCTATTTTATTTATTTTTTCTCACGACAGCAATCCTGTGAGGTGAGGTGGGCTGGCCTGAGAGAGAGAGAGGGACTGCTTCAAAGTCACCCAGTTGGATTTCAGGGCTAAAGCAGAACTAGAACTCTTTCTAACCTGGTGCCATAATTGGACCAAAATGTAAGTGAGGACATGCAGTGAGGTAAAAGTTCTGACAAGAATCAAAAGAAAGGACGAATTTTGATATCCCTGGATTCATGAAAATGGGTAGATTCTGCCTATGTTGAGGTAAGTTTAATTCATTCAAACAATTTATAGACGTTCCTGAGATATTGCATTGAAGGATTTTAAAGGTCTTCCAGAAATATTCTGAAGATTTGAATAATTCTTCCCACCTTGATGTTTAATAATAATAATAATAATAATAATAATAATAATAATAATAATAATAATAACACCCCCGACTTAACAATTGTCGATAAGAAAGACAAAAAAGTCTGGATAGTGGACGTGGCAGTGCCTGGAGACAGCAGAAAAGACGAGAAAGAACTGGAAAAGATAACAAAATACAAAGATCTACAAATAGAATTAGAAATACTGTGGCAAAAGCAAGCAAGGGTAGTACCAATAGTAATAGGCGCCTTGGGTGCAATCCCAAAACAACTGGAACACCACTTGAACACCATTGGCATTGACAAATTCGCCATTAGTCAATTGCAAAAGGCGGCCTTACTAGGAACTGCTTCCATCCTGCGACGATATCTGTAATACCATCAAACATCCACATCTGCCTATCCCAGGTCCTGGGTAAGGACTCGATAGGTAGACAAAAATGCCAAATCCAGACTGAACATCTGGCTGATTGTGCGATGATCCATAATGATGATGATGATGATGATGATGATGATGATGATGATGATGATGATAATAATAATAATAATAATAATAATAATAATAATAATAATAATAATAATAATAATAAAGCCCACCACATGTCTACTTAAACTAAAAGTACAGCAGCTAATGCTGGACTTGACGGAAGCAATTCCAACGGTTCTACAGAAATCTGAACATACATTTCTGTAACCTAAGTGGTGTCTTCTCAAGTTGATCTAGGTCAGGGGTAGGCAACCTTGGCTCTTTTATGACTCGTGGACTTCAAGTCCCAGGTTCTTCAACAAACGTGTTGCTAACTTAACACTTGAAGTGCTTCACTAAACCAGTAGCAAGCAAAGTCGTAAACGGGGGCAAAATTCACATAAGAACCGTCTCATTTAGAAAGGGAAAAAAAATGGGGCTCCATTGTACAGGATCACCTGTACTTCTACATGAGAATCCGATTGCGTGTGGGATCTTTCCACGGTCTTCCGACGTGCCTGTGCTTAAAAGTCCTAGAAACGTCATTCTCTAACCTTTTGTTCGTTCCCGGAACGTGCTTGACGAAGAGTAAAAAAAAAAATGAATTGCAGATTTTAACTCAAAGCATGGGACCTTAAAGAATAAGTCAGTCAAAACTTCAAATGCACTTCTCCCTTTTTAACGAACCTCCTGAGAGATCTCAAACTTTTTTCTTTTTCTTTTTTTTTTTTTAAAAAGGAATATTCAATATTCATGTAACCTTGAACAAGGCTTGAAAATGGCTTCAACAAACTTGACATGACATTTAGAGAGGGTTTTTTTTTTTGTTGGGTTTTTTTTTTTTTTTGGTTATGCGCTGAAAGATGTTCCATCATCCCAATTGTAATGACTTTGGAGCACAGGCAGTCACTCATGACACTGTGTTTTATGTGACTGGTGAAAATCCCTACCGAAAACAGCTTGTACATTAAAAGGCTGCTGCTGAAGATATTTACTACACTGTCAGTCCCTGACCAGGGGCTCACGGTGATGGATGAGTTTTTTTTACACAGCTTCTTGGGCAATCTCGACAAAAAATTCTAGGAAGTATGATCACCTTTTGCCTGTTGGGGAGAAAATAAACGCCGTCTTCTGCAGCTTCCTTTATCAAGGGGGCAGTTGATGCTTAAAATCTAATAACGCAGGAGCAATGTTCATTTAGTTCCATTTACTGTATGATAAAATAACGTCAACATATTGCCAGGATTAAACCCGGCACAAAATGGTTAGATGATGTGCTTTGGGGAATGTCTATAAATATGTAAATTCGTTTTGTGAAGGAGTGTGAGGTGCACACATTCACGCGCACGCGGTTTCCTTCAAGAGAAAAAGAATAATCCTGTTAGACTGAAAAAGAATAGGTATACGAGAGGCAATTGGCAATTCAAGAACTCCGTACAGGCTCTGGATATTTTCTTGGGAAAGGAAAACTATTTTCCTGACATGTAAGTTCACCATATGCAGAAAGATTTTTACGGGAATATATTTTAAACCTGCTAGGTGTGATGGGAGTTAGTTAGACATAACTATATTGTAATAGTGTGTGAATTCAGGGCTTTTGAAATAAGAGATGATAAGAAATGGCAGGTTGGAGTAAAGGAGGGAAAGCCTGCATTTCAAACTAATTGGAGAATGTGATTTATGACTGTAAATTAGGAAAGGGAATTGTGCTTTGATACTATGTGTTCAGGGGAGGGGAATCCAGATTTGGCTTGGACTATGTATGTGCTGATGTGTTGCTACTCAAATAAAGATTATTTAAGGTAAACAATGCCTCGAAGTTCTTTGAACAGTTTCATCTGTCGGAACCATGACATTAGGTGGAAGGGTAAAAAATATATATATGTAATATTGTTAATTCTTTTGCTTAAAATTTAGGGGGTAGGTTATTCTATGCTACTGCCATTTGCCCTTTGTGCATTTTTCCCATGTTTATTAAAAGAATATTTAAATTTGAGTTCATAAGTAGCCCTTGCTTAGAAACCATTGGGACCACAATCTTGGGCATTGAGTGAAGTGGTTGTTAAACGAGACATCGCATGACTACTTTGCTCAACAACTGCAATCTCAGCACACCCGGTTGCGGTCATTAAGCAGTCTTGCAAGTTGTTAAGTGGACGAAGGGATGGGTGCCTCAGGGGATAGACTTATAGAAAGACAGGGCTTGTTGAAATAGATGTCAGACATTGTGTATATTTGGAAGTTGCAGCATTTAATGTGAGCGTTGAACTTTGCGCTGATGGCAGAGCAAATTCAAATTCTACCTAGACTAAATTTAATTTCCCCAGATTGTGGTTAAACATAATTGTAGATTTGTAGATATCTATTATGTAGGGTAGCAATTTGAGCATTTAGAGTACTAGTTTTGCTCCGAAATGAATTATTTTGAAAGTTGCCTCTTTGGAAGTAGATGAGTTACAATCTACATTAGTTGATCAACGTACACATTTCTGATGACCTACTATCTTCTTAAAAGACAAACACAACAAGCACTATCAAAGCAGCCTTGCAAATTCTATCCGTTGGCTGAATTGTAAGAGAGCTGATGTTGTGGGCTCTTTAAAAATCAGAAGTAATAACATTAATCTTTTTCTCTCTCTGCCTTAAAACAAAGTATTTGGTATGCTACATTTCTAATCTTTCCCAGAAATAAACCATAAAGATCTCCAGTGAAGAAAGTCTTCCATATTCAGCATAGCTGATACAATTAACTGGAGAGAATTTGTGGGAAAAAACCGCCAAAGCTGGTGAGTTGATACATTCCAACGACTCTCTCTTCCTAACTATTTTTTTCCCTCTTTTGACTGATGAAGTTGCTTGGATGATCAATGAAACATCTCAGATTAATCAAGTTTGGTCCAGTTGCTACAATTCAACCTTTTAGATTCGCTTGGCCTGGATGATTGAGCCCTCTTTGACATTTTGCAACCTTTGGACAAGCAAAGTCAATGAGGAAGCCAGGTTCACGTAACAATCGTGTTACTAGCAACTGGAGTCGTTCACGTAACCACCGGGGCAAGAAAAGTCGTAAAATGGAGCAAAACGTGGTGGCGCAGTGGTTAGAATGCAGTATTGCAGGCTAACTCTGCATTCCC